TAGCTACATCACTCACCCCAAGTTTCTATTCTCCCTCTAAATATTTGTACTCAGTGAAGTGATTTTATTTTATTTTTTTTCATCCATTCAACCTCTATTTAGACAGGTTAATCCCATTGAACCTCGGGGACTCATTTTCAAGAGATACCTGATTTTTTTTTAAACAAAGAGTAATTTAACTACACACACTGTAAGTGTTCTGGTTTGACTAAGCAGACCTTTGCTTAGAGTGATTACAGCATTTATGTTATCACAGTAGTGATGGGTTGACATTTTGCTCCAGATAAGGCTGATCGAACTTTGTTAGGAGGTCGTGCAGACATAAGTAAAAGAAGATTTTCAGGTCTCTCTTGTAAATGAGTCCTCGTGGCTCAATGGGACTAACCTTTATACATAAAGGTTAAAAAAAAAAAAAAAAAAAAAAGTAGCTCCTTACAACATGGCGGCCATACACTCACCTTGAGCTCTCAGTGGTCGTTCCAGTGTTTCTGTAGTTCAGTGAACGATTCTCCTTTAAATTTCAGTCCGCTCTGGTTTCCGGGGGTTCTGGCCCGCCCTCTTGCCGGAATACAGAAAGCTGCTTCTGGTCCAGGTCTTGTGACTTTCCTCTTGTCTCTCATCATGGTCTCTCTGCAGGATTTTGCTCTGACTCTGCTGGCTCTTGGTCTCTGTCAGGGTTTTCAACCCAACTTCCACCATGAAGAGCCGGGGCTCACCGCAGAGCCTTCAAAGTTCGGCTCTCTGTGGCCCCTGCCGCAGAAAATCCAAATCAACAGTGTTTCCTTCAAGTTAAGTGTGTCCACCTTTCAGATCACTGACGCTACAGAGTCTTCAGCGGGTCCAAGCTGCAGCCTGCTGCAGAACGCTTACAGAAGGTCAGTCAGTTTTTATTCACAGAGCTCTGCGTCGCGGTGCGTTCAAGGACCGCTTTCACTTTTCACTGTGCCTCTGCAGGTACTATGAGTACATGTTTGGCGGCTCTAAAAAGCAGAAGACGAATCAAAGCAGGAGGTCTGACCCGTCGGAGCTGACGGAGCTGCAGGTGTGGATCACATCAGCTGACTCTGAATGTGACGGATATCCGAGCGTGGCTTCTGACGAGTCATGTGAGTGTCTGCTTCCTCGTGCACATGATCACCGTGAGCTGATGGTGCTGCTGCTACAGGTGGAGGAAGACTCCACCGAACACCTTCGTCCTAAATGGAATGGGACTTGTTTGTCCTGCTCCATTTTACTGATGAAAAGAAGATTTTCTTGAATTAAACTGTAATGACATGTTAATGCATCAATGCTGGAACAGTTCTAGATCTGTCTGCAGATTGCTCACTCACCAGGTGGAGACAGTTTAGGAATAAAACGTAACAAAATCAAGGGACGCTGCATTTCATTCCACAAATAAATGCATATCGCCCACTGTCTTTCAAACCAAGAGATGTAGATCTCTCACTACTAACTGAAGGACTAGTAGTCTTTCAAATGTAAATACATTTATAAACACATTTGATTATTCACTGTTATTTGTTGTAAAACTAAGAACTGCTTGTGAAACACATAATCTGTCAGAGCTCAGCCTTATTGACTTTAATGTGTCTTGTAAAAGATAAGCTGACCCAACCAGTGATAAAATACCAGTTCAACAGAAAGCTAGACCAAATATTTACCTGTGATGAAGTGATGCGGGAAGACAAACGTCTTTATCGTCCTCTGTAGGACTGAGCTCAGCAGCTTTAACTGGGTCTAAATCCTTCAGACGCTGACTCTCTGGCTGCTTTTGGGCAGAAACAAATGTGTCTTAAGTCTGTTTACTACTCCCATATTTAATTAAATGCTTGTTAGTAAAATAAATGGCGCCGTTTAGGCATTTTCTAGTGTTGGAGCTCTGAGTGCAGTTCAGTCCCTCAAAATGGCGACACCTATAAAACGGAGATGAGTGAGCATGTGACGTCCATGCAGACAGATATGCAGCAAATTAGTCTGACTGGTTCTTTTAGCCTCCATGAACTTTTGCTTATGATACTCAAATATAGTTTAGTTTTAGCGATATCAGAACTTTCTAAACAAAAGTTTCTCTGAATGTTTTTATTTTGACGAGCTGAACATTAACTGAGCCTTGGAGGCAGTTAAACATATGTGCAGGTATCTTATCTGTGGAGTTTTGCTGTTGCTCAGTTTTGTTTATCCATCCATAGATTATCTTTACTCGCTTCTTCCTTTCTGGGTCGCGGGGGTCACTGGTGCCAGTGTCCAGCAGTCACTGTGTGGACGGGGATACCCTGGACAGGTCACATGCTTATGACAGGGACACGTTTTGTTTAGTCTTATCTTGACGTACTGCAGATGGTCTTTGTGACTAACATTTTTATTACCTTTAATTACACAACCCTCCTTGATTCCCAGCATATAAAAACACGCCTGTTTTCTCTGGCACACACTGTCATTTGATTTAGTATTTTATTGTTCTGTTCTTTTATGTTTTTATTTTAATTTATTAACCTTTATTTCACCAGGCAAAAACCACTGAGATTACACATCTGTTTTGTAAGGGAGGCCTGGGTCTGAAGCAGTCGAACATGCATGTTTTTGGTCTGTGGGAGGAAACTGGAGTACCCGGAGAAAACCCACGCATGCACGAGAACATGCAAACTCCACCCAGAAAGAACCAGGTCTAACCGGGGATTGAACCCAGAACCTTTTTGCTGTGAGGCAACAGTGCTAACCACTGAGCCATCGTGCTGCCCATAGTTAAAAAATTTTATAAATGTTTTCATGAAATTACTGCCATTGATTCTTAATTTTAAGCCCTTTGGTAACGCTGCTGTTTTTAAATGTGCTTTATAAAAAAATTGACTTGACATAAGAAATCAAACTGCAGCTTCCTTTTAATAAATTTAAACTCAGCTTTTAAAATGATGAACTAATCATCCATCATCTTTTACACACTTCTTCCTTTTTGGGTCGTGGGGGTCACTGGTGCTCATATCCAGCAGTCACTGTGTGAGAGGCGGAGGACACCTTGGACAGGTCTCCAGTCCATCACAGGGACACATAGAGACAAACAAGACAAATCATCATTCACTCTCTCACTCACGCAGCACGGAGAGAACATGCAAACTCTACCCAGAAAGGTCCCCGGCCGGGATTTGAACCAGTGACCTTCTCGCTGAGAGACAGCAGCTCTTACCAGTTGCGCCACATGCTGCCTGTGAACTAATCAGTTGAGCTAAAAAAAAAAGAGGTACCAAAAAAAAAGACAAGACTGAAGCAGAACTAACCCAGCCAGCCCTCGATCCAGCTGCTCTGACCGCTCTGTGACCGTAGAGCGCTCTGTTCTGTTGGTGATGCAGCTCTGACTGGGAGGGTTCACAGAACCCAGGAGTGTTTTGCTCTGATTATAAAAGTTTTGTCTGTTTCAAAGTCTGTGACAGATGTCATGTAGTCCTGAAACGGTGTTGGCTGCTTGGCCCTGAAGGGACTGTCTGAACATGACCCATAGACAAAATGTGATCAAATGTCTCACAGCAGCCACAGTGGGATTTATTTTTATTCTCTGTTTTACTTATGAACAGAGGAGCAGAGGAAAGCACAGAGCAGGATTAACACAGATTAAAGCTCTGGTTCACCCACCGTAAGGAGCTCCTGCCAAGTTTTCCACCACAGGAAATGCAGCCATTTGTGAAATGTGCATGTTTGTGTTTGCAGATGAGCTGGTTGTGGATCAGCCGGTCGCAGTCCTGAAGGCACAAAAGGTGTGGGGAGCCCTGCACGGTACGTGTTCGTATGTTCTGTGACAGTGCTGAGTCAGCATTATTTTTCTGTTTATAGTCGTGTAATTATGTCTATTTTTTGTTGTTTTGTTTTACTGTAGTGGTAATAACCATTCTTATATTAAAATTATTACACCAGTCACTTTTATATGTTTTTACAATTTTTGTAATTTTTATCGTTGGGTTATATTTTTCACATTGAAAAATAGATGAAGATGTCTTCAAATTCTTGAAATACTTTTCTATGAAACTTTCATTTTCCATTTTTATCATGTTTAGCTGATTTTAACTTTTGGCTGCCGTTTTGCTCATTTTTTGTTACTGTTGAAAATGTGTAATTTATCGTTTCATGTTGTCTTTGTTCTAATATTAAAATATAGTCTCCTGATGCATGCTCAATAATCCAGGTAGAAAAATCCAAAAAAGTTCAATCTGGTCCTCTGGACATTCAAAACAACAAAAAACAAAACAAAGCAAAAAAAATATAGAAACGTTTCGTCTCTCATCCAAGAGACTTCCTCAGTCTGAGGTGCTGTATTCAGCTCAGTCTCTTAAATAGCACCTTCTCAGAGTGGATCAACCAGTTTTGCTGCTGACAACCAAAACCAGCTGCTCACATGCTCAAGAAGGACCATCAGCCTAACAATGGGTCATTAGCACCTGATGGCTGTTTACTGTTCACAGAGGGTTGAGTGATACTAGCAATCACAGCATTGTAAGAGGGGGACAGTTGAAC